CATTACTCTTGAGTGTTCCTGCCACAAGAAGATATATCTATAAGCCACCATGACCTTTGGGACAGCAGAGAAAGTTTCAGGGAAATACAAACTGGCTGTCTCAGTACAGTGGCACTTGCTTTATTGCTGCTTGTTAATGGAGGCCCAGTCGTGTCTCCACATCAGCATCTCTTTCTTACGTTCTTGAATTAGGCTCAGACCTTCTCTGGTATCTTAACTGTGATTAATTACAACTTCCCTGTGAGAAGACATTTTTAATTCACAGGACATGTCAAAGAAAATTCATGGCTTTCAAAATGTATCTTTCATATTGTGTAGCAGACATTTAACTTGCAAACTGAATTGCAATATGAGTCTCCCTATACTCTCACTGGAGAGTTACTCATGCTACAGTCATGCTAGGAATCACCTGGGAGAGGTCTCTTCCTTCATGCTGTTTAGGAAGCTGAAGGCCACCTAGCCTCCTAATGTAGGCACTTAAGTCAGGTGTCTGAAGCTAATCAGCATCAATACTATATCATAAATAGAGCAGTATCTGCTCTAAGGAACTCTCTTCCTGAATCATCAAGCTTCAGGGAAAAGCAATCTCCCTTGTGGTGCTGCCCTGCATAGTAACAGTGAGTGTAGAAAAGGCTGGTATATAGCCTGCGCTGCATCATCTGCTCTCCCCTCCTGCAGGTACAGTCCCCTGCAGTTCTCTAAGACATCCCTGACCTCGACACTTTCAGAGGCTGTCAGGCACAAACTCAATCCTATGGTGCCTGTGATGGGGATTTGGACTACAGAGCATGAGGCAGAATGAGACTGTTTCAAGAAAACGAACAGACACTGTGTGAAGGTGCTACGAACAAATCCTCAGTTCATAAATTGAAGCCTTCTGCTGGGCTGCAGCACCTATAAGGCTCCCGCAAGCCTCCCATAAAAGTAAAATACAGACCTTCACAATTCACTGTGTACAGGAGAAAGAACATCAAATGCAGAGCTGAGAAAGAACAAGTGGAGGTGAAAGAGGCAGAGAGAAATTGCAAAGAACATTTGCAGTATGATACCAAAACAAGGGACAGGCTAGTTTTCTTTCCCTTTTTCCCATTCCTAGCTCTAAAAAGACACAAGAAATTCAGCATTGTGCCTGGATAACTTTGGAGGGGAGCTAAGACTGTTTCCTAGGTAAACACCCACTTCAGTCCTCAGAGGCACTCTTTCAACACTTTCCACCAAGGATGAGAAAGTGGCGGCCTTTGCTGACACTGGCCCAGCACACCTGAAGTAGCAGCAGAAATCAGAAACATGAGAAGGGAGCAGTCGCAGACAGAGGTGGTTGACAGCAGTGCACAGCCCTTTCTCCATTTTGCCATGTTTTCCAGGGGAGGGCCAGTACTGATGAGGTAGGAGGGAGCACTGCCTGCCCCAGAGGGGCATGTACAGGTCTGATGCTACACCCACCTCTGCATGTTACGGCCAGCACAACTCAGTGGGCACAGAGGTAGGGAGATAAAGATGTGCCTGTTGGTCATCTGCTGGCCACCACTTTCGTGTGAGATGTGCAGCTGGCCCATCAGAGCAGGGCACCTGAGGTGGCCAGGGAAGCCCAAAGTGGAAGACGTAAGGGCCATGCAGATGTGCCACCAGGCAGGTGTATCCTCTTTGCTGGGCCTTTTGCTCTGCTCACAGGGAAACCCACTCCAGCAAAGTCCTCATGCTGTGGTCTATCTCCTGCCCTGACTCTTGTGTGCCCCATGGGACCTCACCAAGTCAGGAGAGTTGTGATCCCAAAGCCAAGGGCTTGGGCACCTCTGCTTCAGGGTAGAGCCAAAATGCAGGAGTGAAGTACTCCTTAGGCAGAACTGTCATCCCAGAAAGGCAGCCCCACATGGATCTTAGCAGGTCATTTTGGGGGAAATCTGCTTAAATGGAAAAAGAAAAAAAGAAGAAAGACTATAAAGAGGGGAGTGGTTGACTGAAGAGATATAGATGCAATTATTACAGAAACACAGTTTTGACAGTAATACAGGGCTGCATCTACTACCAGCCTGGGTAAATGGTGGAAATGTATTTAAAGGTGATGGTGTAGGAAGAAGTAATATTTAGCTCCTGAACTGTGTTAGCACTCTTACATTCGACATGTTTTCTCAGAGGGAGGGAGATTGTAGCTTAGTGCATACTATTATACCCTGCTTGTGTAATTATCATAAGATTGACATGCTTCCTAAATATGGGAATTCTTTAAATCATCTATGTTTTCTTTCTGTTTCAGCAAAGGAGAAATTATATTAAAATATAAAATGTAAACCAAATACAAAGGAAGATATTATTTCTGTATTCATAAAGGGCAAAGTATAGTAATAGGAGTGAGACCAGTCTTGAATCTAATGCACCAGACACTATTACTAGGATTGTCTCTCTTCTGCTTTCTCTCCCAGGCTCCAGGAAAAAGAAGAATCAATTAGCTTTCTACAGACTATGACCTTGAACGATACAGCCTTAAGGGGAATATGCTGAGTAAGACAGAAAAGAGAGGAGAAGAAGAGAAAAGGACTTGGAAATTCATGGAAGGGCTTGGTTCAGAAACAATACATCAGACACAGAATATGCCTTTTTTTAAAATTTATTTCTGCACTGGAAAAAATATCAGAACAAAAAGGACTTTCTGGGAACAGGTTACCTCACTCTAACAAAAATGGAAAAAAGGACACTGAGAGTCAAAAGAAGGGAAAATCCAAGTTGCAGATGCTACTTTCTAAGTCATCTCTCTGAGAATTTTATAGCTATCAAAGGCATTCATAAAAAAAGTTATCACTGATGCAATCTGTCAACCTCTCCAATAAATCTTGCTCTACATAAAACACATCGAAGTGTTTGAAATGCGCTGTTTCAAAAACCCCAAGACAATGCTTTCAGAGCTGTCCAAAAAGTTCTTTTCATGCCTCTTTGAATTCTTAGGCAGATCTTCTGCAACGTACTTTTCCAGCTATATTTTCTTATTTTACTTTGCAGGGAATTGCAGCCCCTTGCCATAGTCAGAATTGCATGCCACATTTAGAATAAATACTGTCTACACAGTCTTCTCCCTTGGAGCAACCCAGTCTTGACCTGTTGCCTGTTCTCCCTCTCCTTTCAGTCTGTGTGTAAATCTATGATGCCTTAAAACATGTTTATCTTAAGAAAATTAAGGCAATAGTAAAAAAAATGAACTCAACCTAATCACCTAATTTCTGGGCAACCATTTATTTCCCAGATGCAAGCACATCTGAATGCAGACAATGGCTTTTTGCCAGTGACTGCTCCAAACAGTCTCTTCCCCTGCCTCCCACCACTTCATTTACTTCAGAGATCAAGTTAGCATATTACCCATAAAGGCTTGCCTCACATGTGGAAATTCTATAGGATGAAGGTTGTCCTGGCATAACCAGCATTTGGGTGCTTCTCCCTCTCACATGAGAGAGGCCATTTTGGCTGGATGGCTGTCCCTGGTCATTTTATGAAGTAAAAAGTGCTGTCATATCTCCAATGACACAATATTTGCACTACAGATTTTCTGCATCAGCAATTAAAAAAAATAATCACTTAGTATAGTTCTATATAACTGCAAAGGTGATTAAGTGTCCCAGTAATTCAGGTAATGTCTTACCTGTCACAGGCCAAGCCCCCTGACACTTTACTGCACAGCAATATTTCCATATAAGACTGTTTCCATCAGACAAATTACTTTTAATATAAAGGATGGTTGTCACCCATTATCTAAACAAAAGGCAGCAGGGCTTCTACAGGAATACATAAAATTTTCTTTCAGTGATTCTGGAGTTGCTATTCAGCCAGGAGCTGAAAGGACCTCCACTAATATCACTGCAGTTATGCTCATTTTCACTGGCAAGGTGATTGACCCAAACTGTTATACCTAATCCAGTTGCCACATATCTATACTGAGTCCAGTTCTGGTGGAGCTAAACTTAGTAGCAAACTTCTGGTGATTTCAGGGCTCCAGGGTGAGGTCTAGTTCAGACCACCTACAAGGCATCTACCCTATCACTGCAGCTTTTCAAAGGAAACCTCAGCCCTGTGCTCTTGGCACAACGGCACACTGACTTCTCTTTTAACTGGAGTTGCACAATTTTACACAGCTCAGTAATTGCTGGCTTTATCTGCTCTGGACTTGATGGGTTAAAATGATGAATATCGAAATTGCACTTCAGCAATGTGATATTTTGATGCTTTATGACTGTTACTAAGAAAGTAATCCAGGTACCCTAGATATTTTTGCTTTAAGGATTAACAAAGACTAATTTGGAAATGGACCCCTCCTGCATTGGCAAGAATGCTTTCCTGAAATGCCCCACAAAAGTCAATGAGGCAATGTCTGAGAAACAGGTTCAACAAGAATCAGCTCCTAGAGGAGGGGAAAGATGCAGAGAAATGTGTGCTTTGCTCTTAAGAGAAAGGGAAAGATCATAAGCTAACTGCTAAATTAATAATTTCGGTTCTCTAAATGCTTCAAATACACTGTTGTTCTTTTCCACTGTTCTCCCTGAGTGTTTCAGGAGGATGGCAGGGATATTTGCCAGCAACAGGCTTCAGGAAGGAGGTAGCAAAAGTGCTCTGCAGGCAAGGCAAAGAAAATAAACACACATGGACATAAATAAAATTTATAAGAAAAATATGCTGATATACCATGTGGAATAGCTATCAGATAAGCCCTTGACGTAAATCACATACTTCCCTACAAGTGGATGCAGAGAAAAGGGTCATACTGGTGCTTTACAGAAGTCCCATATGAGGCCTTCTTCATGGCCATGTACACATCAGAACTAAGTTCAGAGGCCCCTAGGACCTCTCCTCAGCAGGTAACCCATTCTTTACCCAACTTAGTACATTTAAGCTTTGTATGCCTATCACACATCCTCCTTGACGACAGCTGCAGAACAGATAAGTGCCTTTTGTTTTGTTTTGTTTTGTTTTGTTTTTGTGGAAGGAAAAAACCAAAGAAACACATAGCTTCTACTTACAAAATTTTGGAGCAGTTTGGAGATTCGTTTCTGTTGCTTGCACCTGAGATGCTGTGGTAGGCTCCAGGGCAGGTGGTGACAGCGAAGGTGTGGCAGAGGACAACAACCCAACATCTAGGATGCGGTTATACAGAGAAGGTTGGAGGAACGGTTTGGAGGGCACAAGTGAGCTGTCGCTTTGCACTGTCACTTCAGCCTTGGTAGGTACAGGGAAGGGTGAGGCATACACCTCCGAAGGCACCCAGGCAGACAGAGCTGTTGGATCCACAGCGCTCTTTGGGTCTTGTCCTATCCTTCCAGGGTCAAGGTGGGTAGGAGAGTCATACTCAAAAATCTTGTCCACAAAGACCCACTTTAGGCCAGCAATGCAGAGGCAAAGGCTGAGCAGGCAAGCCAGGATAGGGGCAATGCAGATCTTTTCAGAGTTGAGGCAGCCCTTCAGTCGCTCTGCCTCCAGGCACACACAGCAGGTTGCAGCAAGGCCTGCTATCCCTTGGACCCTCCTGTCCTCTCTTTGGATCCCTGGCATGTTCTCCTCAGCCGGGAGCCCGTTGAGGGATGCATCAGGGCTCAGCTGAGCTGAGGGGCTGGGGAAAGTTTCAGCAGCTACTTCAGACATGTTTAAGCATCAGCTCTCAAACAGCTCACCTCCAAAAGGCCTTAACTCTATCACAATCCATTACTGTGAGACACAGACAAAAAGAGATTGTAGTAATAGTCACAGCACTCTCCAGAAATCACAGAATGGAAGTCAGAAAAACGTCCAAGCTCAGTAACATCATTCAAATTGGGAGAGGAGTAATGCACAGGAAAAATGAGAGTCCCCCTGTCCCCCTCTGCCCCTGAGCCCTCTGTCGTGCTCTCTGCCTCTCTGAGGCAAGAGTAGATGCACAATCACTGAGCTCCTCTTTGCTGGCCACTTTTATAATTCCTTAGATGCCTCCTCCGCTCCCCCAGCCCCCTCGCAGCCTGTTTCCCTGATGTACAGGCTCACTCCTTCCTCTTCTACCCCACCCCCCGCCCTCTGCAGGGCTGCTCTGAGGGAAATCAGTACACCCAGCAACGCAGGACTGTCAGTGACTTCCTATTTTGTCCAATTAGGAGAAATAAAGCCCATCAAATCAAAAGGAGGGAGCGGGCAGGAGTTGCGCTCCCGCCTGCTCCCTCTCTTCAGCTGGAGCGCGGCCAGAGGCGGCGGCCATAGATGACACGGTCCTCTGGTGAGGACCGGGTGTCGGTGGGTGCTCTCTGGCCTGGACTGGGCTCGCTGAGTCTGATACCCGATCTCTCCCACGGGGAAGACCACTTTCCAGCAGCAGTTTCTCCCTGCCTGACACCTAGACAGCTTTTCTTTCCAAGCTCCGAAATAAGTTTCGTTGACTAGGAATAGTGCTGGGATGCACCTTCGGTCAAGCCAAAGAGAAAAAAAAAACCCCACAAAAACATTCTCACCTCTAACAAATTTGCATTTAAGCTATTACAAAGAGGTCTGCATATATTTTTTTATATTCCATTTTTCAACCTCCTTTCCAAAGCCCTCCAAAACCAAAAAAGCACTAAAGCCAGCTCCTGAACAGACTTTTCAAGAGCTCACATGCTGCTAGCATATATCCTCACTCCACTTAAACTAACAAAAAAAAAAATTAAAAATTTTAAAAAATATTATTAACAAGGCTTCCACTTTGTTCTTAAATTTGCCTGTCATTCCTCACCTAACACTGACTTAGCACTAGCTCCCATTTCTACCAGTGCAGTGTAATACAGGGGTAAATCAACAATCCAGTTAACAAAGAAAGTAAGATTAGACTCAGATCTATTCCCAGTCTCTTTTGTCTCCCACAGAAAAGTACACCTGTTTAACAGTACAGACATATGTATAAAGGGACTATGGATTTTAACACAATCTCCAGTTCCTTCGACTTTATGCAAGCATTTGCACTGAAGATTTGGAAGCGTGAATCCTCCTTTCTCATTAGTATAAATGACTGCAGGATGCATAAGGACACAAAGAATCAAGTGCTACAAATTGTCTTAATTTTGCTGATACTTCAGTCAGACATCCAAAAGGCAATTTCCTTTGTAGTTACATATTTTTGATAGTGCAAAAAAAGCTGTCTGTCGCTCTGCCTCCAAGTCCCCCCGTTTATCAAAATCTCAATGAATCCCACAGTGTTTTCACAGACTCTCCTATCAGGGACTAATTGATGGATATCTGATCACAAAGCTTCCTGTGAAGCTATACTAGTGAACTGAAGTAAGCATGATTCTACTACATACAGGTGCCTGGAGAATTTACTTTCAAGAACAGACAGTGATAACACTCTCTGGAAGAATGTAAAAAGACAAATATCATACAATCTAGTCTACATTACCACTTAAGTGTCTGGTCCTCAGGTTAATGGTGTGATCAGTAACCTCAGATAGAGGGAACAGCTTGCATTGCATATTTACGTACATGGCTCTCCTTATTACACAGCACATGTGCTCCTTAGCTGTTAATATTCTGCATGAGTGCAGTCTTTTTCAAGTATCTCAAAACCTATTTCAAACAGCAGTAACAACACAGCCGCTGTAGAAAGGGTAACATCACAGCAGCATTGCCATGACAGTTGTGGGTACAAGTAAGCAAGGTTTCTAGGGAAAAAAGGATGTATCTTTTATTAGATTAACTGATAAATCTGGAAAAAACAGACATTTGCACACACAAGTTGCTCCTCAGGTGTGAAGCAGAAGCACCACTCTTAAAAGCAACTTGTGTGTGCAAGTTGACCACCAGCTGGGAATATTCTCTTCATTGCACAGCCTCTGAGTGCTTAGCACTAATTTTTAAAAATGTCTTGCCTTTTTTACTCATGTCCAATATTTCAACCTTCCTACTTTCAGTAAGACAATTTTTGCTGATGCTGCTGCTCTGAGCTTGTGTTTAATCCACTGCCTTGTCCACATCTTCCCTTGCCCTGGCCTTCCAGGCAAGCTACCAACCTTCTATAATCTTCGCTACTCTCCAGTCTATCCACATTTAGCTGCCCTCCTTTAAATGATGTTTCTCCTTTGCTCCTGTCTTTCTGGTGCTGAGGTGAACAAAAATGCATGCAGAGATCTTGCACCTTTCTTACAAGGGTTGCCAGGAAGTTAAGGTAATCATGCACAGTGTTACAAAACTGGACAGAGGGACAGATCACTTATTACCCGTTCAGGCCATGGGCTACCACCTCTGCGTGCACAGCACTCTGCGAAATCTCAGAGCCTCTTGTCTCAGGAGCCTGGTGGGGACGCTTTCAGGGACACTCCTGCACATGGGCGCATTGCCCCTCTCCTCACCCTGACGGAGGGGCTCACAGGGACCGGGAAAGGGCTCTCCCTGAGGGGTCTTGCCTGCCCCTCTGAGCCCTCCTGGCTAAACAGAGCCAGGATAGCTACTGCTGCCTCCCTTGCTTTTTCTCGCTCTCCTCCACCGGCTGGGGCCCAGCCTGCCTGCACCATCTCCTCGCGGCAGGCAGCCCCCTCCAGCCCCTCCCATAGCCTCCGCGGCCGCAGCATCTTCGTCGGGCCTGGCTCCCTTCCAGGCTGCAGTACCCTGCTCTGCTGCAGGTCCCTTCCCCCCGCGGCATTTCCAGACCTGGCGCGCAGGCTGCCTGCCTCAGCATTGTGCAGACAGCTCTGCTCAGGCCTCCTCCTCACGTCCCCCTCCCGAGGGAAGCCTGCAGAGCTGCTTCACGCTCCCCGCCCTGCTGGAGCTGCAGGGTGCTGGGGCTTGCGATGAGAAAAGCGGGGTGGCACCCCGCCTTTGGAGGTGCCTGGCGGCTCCCATTATTCCCCGGCCAACAAGCAGGAAGAGGCAGTGCTGAATCATCGGCTGCTTTCCTAGCCCCGCTCCACAGGTGGCCAAAGCAAGGGCCAGGACACGGCCTGCTCAGGATGCTGCGACCCGATACAGAATGGGGCTGGCTCTCTTTTGGACAAAAATGTAACCCCACTCTCTTTATATCATCTGAGTTGGCAAGGGAGCACTGCTCCTTTTCACACCATCTCTCATGGGTATGGAAAAGGCTGATGGTCCCTCACTGTATGTCTGAAGAGATGATTGTAAAATGAAGGTACAGTTCACTAGTTTTGGGAGACCTTTCCTGTAGCTGCAGGTTTGAGCCTTTTACATTCTGTAGTGACATGCCAGCACTGGCATGCTGTGCTTAAACATGGGTTCTGGCCCAGGCTGGAGGAGATGAATACCTTGGAAAAGAGTCAGCAGAAATATAGGCCCTGGAAGAAAACAAGAGGGAGCATGACCTTGGAGGTAACAAAGCCTTACTAGGGTAGCCCTAGTATGTGATATAGAAGGATAAGGAAGGAAATTACTTGTCTGTTTGCAATTAGGTTAGGTCCTTGTCCAAAGATTTATTTCTGATTATGTGGCTTGGGTCTCTTTGGTTTAGAGGAAAAAGTAGTGTGATTCTACACCAATGAAGCTAATCTGTGACTGAGATTTGGACTCTTGCCATATGTAAGTGACAGGTTGAAACTCAGAGACTTACAAAACTGTAATTTTATTTTGTGGAGTGTTTTTGTGAAGAACTAAGTATTACTCTGCTAAGTTCCACCCCCAAAAGACTCAAGAAGAGACAGAAAGCCAAAGTCAGCATTAATCTCCATCCTGTCATGAGGACAAACCAGTTGTATCTGTTTCTCCAGTTTTACAGGTCCTAAAAGGAGGTTGATTTCATATTACCAAACTGCAGGGGACCATTCACTCTGGCCAGCCCCATGTATGTGCAGGAAGCTTAAATAGGTATGTGATCATAACAGACAACATCCTGCAAATTAGAGCAGCGAGTAGCATTTTACTCAGCTGACCCATAATTAGACCCAACCTGCCAATGGTTTTGGAAATTAGGATTGGCGAGTCATTCTCATGGAAGCCACTGGATTTCAAATATCCATCTGCTTTAAATAAAGTCCCCGTAGTCCACAGAAAGATTCTCTAAGAACTATCTACTTTCTTGCAGCTACTGGAATATTAGGAACATTAGGAAAGTAAAGTCAGTCTTCACAAGTGGTTATTCATTGCTCTGTTGGATCACAATTTAAGCAAGGATGATCAGAGGACCACACATCTGTGTAGCACAAGTGATTCCCTCCCTGACCACTGCTTTTCTTTTAGAATGTGACAGTTCTTCAGAAAGAAGCAAGCAGCAATATGGGGTATGAACTGCTCCATCATGTGTTTGATTGCACTCCCTTTTTTTCCACACATTGAGAAATTAAAAGCATTGTAACCAAGAAGCTAAAAAGAAAAAGTGCATGTTCACAAAAGATTGATGAAGAAGATAAAATGATCTCTTGTTATTGATTGCAGGCACTTCAAATTAAATAAGTGCACTATTTAAAGATGGGGGTGTGACCCAAAGCAAGTGAGCATAATAAGCAGCATCACTGCCATCAGTCATGGTGTGGGAAGAGTGGTCTATCACACATTGTGCAAACAATTAATTTATTCTCCATTTCAGTACTTCACCAACCTCCCCTCCTTAATCCATCTTCTTGGATTGATGCCAGCACTCTTTCCCTTTGAGCCCTTCCAAAAGCCTTCACTAAAATCCTCATTTCTCAGCTCAAGCGGCAGAAGAAGGAAACTTCATTTTACTTCATACTGGTCCTGTTACCGGAACTGCAAATGTTAAAATGGGACAGGCTCTCACTCACACACACCTACCCATTTTTCACCTGATGGAAAGCAGAGTATTTATATATATATATATATATATATATATGCTATAGTGCTGTTTGTATGTTTCTGCCAATTCCTACCACCTTTTTCCTCTTTAAAAAAAAAAAAAACCCAAACCAAACCTCTGGCCATTTGCAGCCATGTGTGACTGAGGAGAAGAAACATCAAGACAGTAAGAAAATGCAGGAAAACATGAACAGTAAAAATACAAA